TCGACTTCACAAGACTACATTTGATTTAAATAGATACTAGAAGCTATGTGTATTAAAGTCTTTCACTTGTTGATCTCGACCTCATAAGACTACATTTGATTTATATAGATACTAGAAGCTATGTGTATTAAAGTCTTTCACTTGTTGATCTCGACCTCATAAGACTACATTTGATTTATATAGATACTAGAAGCTATGGGTATTAAAGACTTTCACTTGTTGATCTCGACCTCATAAGACTACATTTGATTTGTATAGGTGCTAGACGCTATGTGGATTAAAGACTTTCACTTGTTGATCTCGACCTCATAAGACTACATTTGATTTATATAGATACTAGAAGCTATTCGTATTAATGACTTTCACTTGTTGATCTTAACCTCATAAGACTACATTTGATTTATATAGATACTAGAAGCTATGGGTATTAAAGACTTTCACTTGTTGATCTTGACCTCATAAGACTACATTTGATTTGTATAGGTGCTAGACGCTATGTGTATTAATGACTTTCACTTGTTGATCTCGACCTCATAAGACTACATTTGATTTGTATAGGTGCTAGACGCTATGTGTATTAATGACTTTCACTTGTTGATCTTAACCTCATAAGACTACATTTGATTTGCATAGATACTAGAAGCTATGTGTATTAAAGACTTTCACATGTTGATCTTAACCTCATAAGACTGCATTTGATTCATATAGATACAATAGAGTGCAATTGATTTATATAGATACTAGATTATATTAGAAACTTTCACTTGCTGACTACTAGATTACCATACTTGGCTATCGCAATTGTTTCAGAACAATACATTATTTCATAGGTCACAATGGTACTTTTGCAACTCAAGATAAACACGTGACATTTATATTCCCATGGTTACCGAACAAGGTGTTAAAAATGCAATGTGGACGAAAACATGTATTTTTAGTAACTTCATACTGTAAACCGAATCGAATTATGATTTATTGTTAATTAACACTGTTGCGTTTGCAGGACACACAGCAATATTCGTGAGATGAAATGTTAAAAATTGTTTTTGGAAAGTAACTTATTTAATAATGGTCCTATGAACATGTTTTACCGAATGGTACGATGTTACCGGCAATGGCGCCAGGTTAATCCACGAGAGCCCACCCTATCTAGTTCCATGGTTTCATTTGAACCCTTTCGTGGCTTGGACTAGACTCGCAGTTCTACTAGTCATCCACTCTGTCTTCGTATTTATCATTCCCTGTTGTACTCTCTATATGTGTATTCGCTACATTTCTTGCCGATTCTTCGTAGTATTCTGATTAGCATTGCGAGGGGATCGGCATCTATTAGAATATACTTTGCATATTTACATATTTTGGAATATATTGGTATACATGTATTTATAATATTTGTATAATACAACTTTGTGATACATATATATTATTCATTCTCTGTAATCTGATTCTGTATCCGTGATTTATCATGATTATAGTTTATATCTATGATTTATAATCCATGCCATTCTACGATTATTGCTGATATTTTTGTCGTTTCCGTTAAGCCATTTACTTTGATATACAATATATTAGTACCCCGCGTGGACCTCCCTCAGATGTGTTACTGTCAGTTGGTATGTAATTACCGAGGTATTTGAAATACTGCAGTTCTTCTATTTCTTCTTCAAGCACGCGGGTTTGTTTGTGCTCTTGTTCTTTAATTTCATCTGGATGGATCTTGAGTCCTGTGCCTGTTGTTATTCTGTTAATCCGATCTATCTTTTCTTGAATGCATTTCTAGGTGTGTTACAGAGGGTAAATTTCATGTGCAGCGTCAGTATCCTCCTGTCTTGTTTTCAGGCTCCACACAAATCCTCTTGGTTTGTCTACGGTAGATGTAATTATCGCTCAGAGAAGACAACAAGGATATAGTGTGGGTGAAATTACACCGCCTGCCACCATTCATTTTGTTGCCCGTCATGACGTACACAGCGTTGTTGCCGTTGATGAATTTTAACTGAAATCTATGTGCTTTGAGAATCGTCCAAAAGAAGGGGTGGATGCTGTCAAATGAATTTTCAAAATCAATTAAATTGACATATAAAGAAGAGCTCAATTCTGTGTGATTACTCCACGATCCTGCTGGCTCTATACTATTCAGTTGTTATTTTCATTCTTTGCAGCATAATTCGACAAAAGATGTTCCTGGGCACTGAAAGTAGCTTGATACCCCTCCACACACTATCAGGATTTGATAGTTTTTCGTTTATGTTGATGCCTTCCTTTCATGCTTCTGGAACTGACTTTCCCTGTCTGACTGTGTTGAATGGATCTCACAGTGATTAAACGCTTGTGGTAGTGTCTGCCTTCTGCCCGTTAACAAATGACTTTATCATCATATATTAGTTACGCTACCGTGACTGAACAGCGCCCCCAAATGCAGAGGTGTCTGATATTCATTATTATTATCGTAGGGTAGTCATAACTAGAGTGGGGGTAATGTACTTTCCTTCCGTACGAAGTATATTACAGAAAAAATAAAATAACATTAACAGTGATTAATGGGGTGGGTGGGAAAAGACAGAGAATTACAGGCGCCGACATTTATTTCAAGTTCAGTTAAAACTCGATTTGTACTGTGAAATAAAGTCTACAGCTGTCACATCCAACTTATCGATCACTAATACATGTATTGAATAAATTGAGTTAAATGAATTGTATTCACTGAAATTAGAATATAATTAAGAGCCCGTAGTGTTTGTTTTAAAGTAGCGCCACCTACGTCGGGGTAATATTTCACCACGACCTTTGAAATAGATTCACAATAACAGCGCGACAATACCATATAGATACAGTGTAATACTTTAGTTTGTTTAAGGAAAACCAGATGTTTAGAACACACCATATCGATTGCAATCGCCTTTTCATGACTGTTGATTTCACCTGTTTGTAATCTCTGCTATACAAGTTGTGTATGTTATCAGGTTTATAATCTATTCCACGTGGGGTTCCACTAGTGGTGATTACGGGATTCAGTCCTACCGGTCTTTATAGTGTTTGCAAATAGAATTCCCTTCGGTGTATAGTTTTTATCTTGTTCCACAACAACGTTCGTGAACTTTATAGTCGGAAATTTAGGTTGAGTCCTGAACATAATGGAGCGCCTCCCCCCTTCCGCCGGTACCACCGTGACTGCCGTATTACTGCGTGTGAAATATATACACCATCCGCTCTACATGTTTCTCGGCAACATATGGAGCAGGGCACTCCATCATCGCCGCATTATCTGTCTTTTCAATCACATTCCTTTGCCGATCAAGTAACTGATACTGAAATCCTTACCGGCGCAGGGCGAGATGGTGCATCTTCGCTAGCCAAAGTCTAAAACCTATAGGTCGAAGACACACACGGGACCGTGCGTTTCGGACGATGGAGATGGTGATATCATTCTGCTATTTAGTGATTAATGAACGCGAGCACCTGTCATCCCATCCGTCTCTACTCTTCTCTTAAACTTCAGGCGTTATGAATAAAAGATTAAATGTGTGAATCAATGCAGCAATTTTGTATGCAATTGCAGTGCTCGCGTCGTTTGTTTTTGCACTCGTTCTGGTCTCGACCATCCAGTGGTCGCATGGCCTTGTCAGAATCGAATACCAGTATAAGGCTCTAATTTCATCATCAAACATCATTGATCCCCAAATAATAGAACAAAATACGCGCGATTATTCGAGGCATGAAGGCGTCTTCGATACAGAAAAATTTGCATATGTTATTTTACTTACATCCGACACGCACTGTGTTTGTTTACATTAAATCCGCCAAGTAGCTATGTATTGGAGCGAATCGTTTAGCCCACTACACGTGCAGACACAGTTGAATTAAAAAACAATCAATAATACAAATTGATTCTGAAGTACAGGCATGTTTCACTTTTTCTCTATATTATTTTACAATAAACTTGTCGCCATAGTAACCCCATAAGGTATGTCAGCTATAAATTCAGTCGTGATTCGTCTTCACATTATGTAGTTTGCACATCTTGCATTGTTAAATGTTCATATTAGTGTCTGCCATACACTGATAGAATGACATCTTCCCTTATCCTACTGGCTCTTCCATTATAAAAGCGCTCCCATGTGGGGAGATTCCTCGTACCGATCTGCAGAAATCGTCAGGGAGCTTCCGATTTCCCTGTGTAATGTTGCCAAGCAATTTGGGGTAGAGTACTCTGATTGCCGACGTGAAGGACCATTAATCGGCCGTAGCAAAAGAAAATCAGACATTATTAATGGAGAAGCTTAATGGGAGCAGTGCACACGATACAATACTAACCCTTCGCAGCCTGTGGTGATAGACACGACGGCGGAGCGACCAGCAGCCGTGCTAATGCATAATGATGAATAGGACCAATATGGAAAACTACGAGCTGGAGAAAAACTTCCGTCCTAACAGGAATCCGGGGGTAGTTTTGATCAAGAAGAGAACGGTGTTTTTGTTGGTCTCTATTACACTGTTTCTTTTGGTTGCTGTGGCGCTTGTGTTTTATTTTATTCCCCATCGTTCAGCTGAATGTAGCGACCAACCAGCACCCGTTGAACACACAGGGTTGCCCCCAATCCCGGAAGACGAACCGGACATCGTGGAACCAACATACCCCTTCGATGGACGTCTACCGAACACTTTTGTACCTGAACACTACTCCATATGGATGAAAGTTTACATGGACCAAGAAGATGAAAGCCGGCAGTTTAGTTACGATGGCGAGATAAATATTACGATGAAATGTACAACACAGTCTACGGTGATTAAAGTACATTACTGGTTACTAGACGTCGATTTCAACTCGATTGAAATTTATCACATGCCAGATATGAAAGAAGTTGGCACTAAGCACGTCTCCTCGGACGATACGTATCACTTTCTAGTCATCGAAAGTGAAGAGTCTCTTAACGAAAATGAAATATACATGGTGATGATTCGATATATTGGAGAGCTGCGTGAATACGATTTGTACGGGTTTTATAGGAGCCAGTACATTTACCAAGATGAGACGAGGTAAGTGCTGCCCTGAATGTGATTAAGACCTTTATAACAATGTAGCACTTAAACATCACGACCAGTGATTAATATAAACCAACATTTATATAAACTGTCATGGTGGATATCAACAATTGAAATTGCCACCATGACGTTACAGTGATTACTTTCCATCTACAAGTGCAACATTTCTGTCCATTTCGTGAAATGATGTGGAATTTTCTCCTTACATCACACATCTTTCACACTCTCGGCCGTACACTGCATTAGGTCACACGCTTATTTCATGCTATCGTGTTAGTTTCATAACGAGTTCTTGTTTGTCTAATATCCGTGTAAATGTTTACTAGGCTAGTGCCTTGATATGCTCTTTTTCGCGCTCACCTCGCCTGTGCCTCGGAATTGGTGACGTGTGTACATAGTATTACTATATACAACAATGTATAAACATTATGATTAGATAAAACTGCTTCCAGCATTTCAAAACAAAAACGATAATAGAGTCTGCAAATATGAATGAGATAAGAGGATGACGTAGGTAGACGATAATGTACACATATATATTATTCCTATAATGGAGAAAAGATAAAATATTAACTAAAAAGAATTAACTATTGAAAAGGCGAATATAACAAGCGCGTCCATATGGTATGCACAGTGAATTGCTACTTTATGTTTTGCTGTACCAAGGTTTTGTCTGCGGTTATTAAATACTTAATACTATAATTATGATATGCAAAAACTATTGATATCCATATTTAACGATGGTGTTGTGAATCTTAGTATTGAATAGTAGCCAATGTTTGCGGGCAATTTACCTCTTAAACAGGGACGAAACTACAAAATACATATTATAACAATTTTTTTTGTGTTTCAAAGTGTTACATAAATTTTAATTAGAACTTTCCATGTTATCTATGTTGAAGCATTAGGTCACAGACAATAAATATTCATCATTTGTTGTAATGGTAGCTTACCCTATACAACTAGTAATAGAATTCAAATTTCCTGATGTCAAAAATTTTGCATTACATATGTTAGAGACATTGGCGCTAATCTCGCAATAATTCCACGCGTTTCTGTATATTTACACAATACAGAAACAATTATTCTGTATTTGTGGAACTTGTATTTGACTTTCTGCATTTTAACGCATTTACTCCTAACACAGAATTAATATAGTAACACACACTTGGAATACAAGTTGACGTCAACACATGACCTGTTTGCGCAGTATATTCCGTTCTTTTGAACTGTGCTGTACGAGTCCCGCACTATATTTATACTAGCTAGTCCTTTTTCTACCACAGGCTCACTAGTCACAGAGTCATGAGTCGCAAAGCTATAAATCCGAAAGGTTGAAATAATCGCTTCTCAGGTTCTTTTTATATAAAATAAATCTTACTTTTAAATCATGTATCTCTTATTAAGGCTGTGTCCAGCACGCTGTCAACACTGGAAACTTTATTCAACAGAGTACCCTCACGGAATATCGTCCTCGTTTCAAAAACAGTCGTTTTGATCAAATTTGCTTATTAATAGTATCATATTTGATGCAATTTGAATGAATGTTATAAGATAATATTGTACTTTTGTACCTGCGTGCCACGGGTCACTACATGAACATTCCCAATAGCACACATATGCTGAAACCACTCTTCGTGGTGATTATTTGGCATAAAATAACGATCGAGCTGAGACTAGCGATACATGATAAAACGTTATAGTAAATAAAATATTACGAGGAAACTACGTTTTATTGCGCCTTTCCTGACATAAGAATGTGTCACGGCACAGTTGGCAAGGCGATATTAAGTCATGTAATTCGTACATACTCCACAGATCGCCCAATCACTAACACTGTACTGTCCTCTATTAAAGTAATTGCTCAGTACTTACAATTCAAGGTTCTCGTGACTTTATTCATTGCGCATGTGCAACAATTCATTTGGCAAAAAGAGATTCTCATTAAGCTGACTTTCTCATTACCATGGATACGATCTATTTGTTCTAATAGCATATTTTGGCTCATCAAGTACAATGTTCTTCACATGCATCACCCGCGCAACCGCATAGCAAATGGTACAAATTGAAGGTGAATACCGAAAATAACGACTGAGAAACCATGGCGACCATATTTTTGTATTTTGCTTTTTGACTTGTGGTTCAGGAATGCAAATGCAAGCAAAATAAAAATATGTCGTCATCGTACATATTTTTCAAGTTCGTTAAAATGCCAAATTATATTTATAATAATGCATGACGATTTTATCACGTTTCGAAATGATACTAATTTTGTCATAAATTATTAGAAAAGTATATTTTCATTCACTGTGTTTATTAGAAAATAATGAATCTACACTTTAATCATCTAGTGGGATATTCATAATACAACACATTGTACGTGATAATAAAACATGTCGTTTGGTATGTGCCGACTACACTTATTTTATAATAATACTATCACAGTCAGTCTATGTTTAAAGCAGTGTGGTGCCTCTTCATTAAGGGACAAGCCAAAGACACAGTGAGTGTAGGGGTGTACCCTAAATATATAACAATGATGTAAATGGGCGACTCGAATGCCGTTCAAATCATTTGTATAATTTTGATCTGTACTCGTCCATCAATGAAGATGTCTTTTTTGAGATTTTTTGTTATTTTCTTGGTTACAAACAACTGAACAACCAGTCACAGTTGCTTCCATCACATTACGTAATTGTGACGTATCAGAAGCGTTCTGCCACTGGAGTGCGCTTCTTATAGGATAGAACATTATGAAATTATACGTACATCTCGAGCTATTCACACTGTATGAATAGAGCGCATCAATTAATACATTTAGTTGCTCTAGTGGTGCATCACCCAACATATTGTATGATAAAGGGAACGGATATACAGTGGATGTGACGTCATAAAAAAATGATTGTGTAACAATTTTTCTGCAAGAAGATGAAGAAGTGAAGTGCACTATGAAATATATCATTATGCAGATATTCTTTTCATTTAGCGATATTTTCAAATCTGATATATAATTATTCCTCATTTATATTCTTGTCATGCACTTCATAGCCGTATATTTTCACTGATATATAAAACGCTAGTAATAATGAATTTGTAGAAAGTGACCAAATTATTATGCGGGCTGCGGGCCGATGTAGTACAGTGTAATACTTCATACTAGTTTGTGGTTTTATGCCTTCGGCCTTATTCGGTTCATCGCATATAAATTTATTGAACTATGAATTGCCCGGCAAAATACTCGAATATAAAACGTGGGAAATATTTTAAATACCGAAGGCAACTATCTTTCACAGGCGGGTGCGGAGTAACACCGTGTACATATGATCCTTGGTCGTAGTTTTCTAGACAGATTGCAAATCACTTACAGCCACAGAGTAAAAGAACAGACGTCGACCTTGAATTGATGTCCTACTTTTCCGCAACAGTTAATTAATATCATGTCTCGTTGTGACAATAGCTCAATCAATTTTGATTTCAAAAATTTCAAATTATTTTTTTTTAATCTCTAAACACTTGGAAAGCCCAGGGAGTAGACAAAAGTATACTTTTATAAATTAGGTAATATAATTAGGAACTCGATTGCGGCAATATAGTAGTGTATAGGCGGCTTATAGAGCTCTCTAATGTCAGTGGGGTTTACCAGTTCTTTGTCAGTACACGATTGTTATTTATTCGTGTGGAGTTGTTTACCTTTGCACGTAATGCCAATTAAAGAAATGCACAGGTCTGTGGTAGTGTTGATGATGCAACACTCTAACTCTCACCAGAATCTGCAGTTCTCTGAGTCGCACTGGAATACGCAGCTGTCTTACTCACACTGGAATCTGCAGCTCCCCTGTCTCCCATTATATGCAGCTCTATGACTCCAATTGGAATACGCAGCTGTCTGACTCACACTGGAATCTGCAGCTCCCCTGTCTCCCATTATATG